GTGTCATAGACCTGTAACTCCAGCACTTGGGAGGCTCAGGCAGGAGGGTTGAGAGTTTGAGGCCAGCCTGGGCTACATACTGAGAACCCATCTCACAAAGAAATTACAAAAGGAACAAATGAAATGGTACTGCTAGAACGAAGGAAAACCAGAGCAGGGGGCAGGGGGGTGACAAGGATGGAAGACCTCTCTAAATGTATCTTAAAAACAAAACAAAAACCTAGTTTTGCAGGTCATAGTGGCACATGCCTGGGACCCCAGCTACTTGGGAGGTAGAGATCAGGAAGATCATGGTTCGAGGCCAGCCTGGGTAAAGGTAGCACAAGACCCTATCTGAAAAACAAACTAAAAAGCAAAAGGACTAATAGAATACTTGTCTAGCAAGCATGAGGTCCTGAGTTCAATTTCCATACCCCCAAAACAAAACAAACAACTAATTATGATGTTGGAATCAAGTATTTTACATACTTTTTTTTAAAAAAGCAGATGAAACAAAATTAACTGTGTGTAGATTTGGAACAGTAACTTGAAGGGACTTGAAAACACTGTCAATACTTTTTCTTTTTGGTGGTACTGGGGTTTAAACTCAGAGCCTCACACTTGATAGGCAGGTACTCTACCACTTGAGCCACTCTGCCAGCCCCTGAAAACGCTGTTGCAATACTCAACTTCAGCACTACTGACACTTTCAGCAAGGCAGTTGTCCTGGGAATCATAGGATATCGGTAACATCCAAAGCTCAGGTGAGCTTCCTTAACTGGCAGCCCTTTGCATGTACTGTCACCATCATTGTTGGGAAAATGAAACACCAGGAGACTGTTTTCAAATGTAGATTTTTCAAACAACAAATGCTGGTGAGGATGCAAGAAAAAAGGAACCTTTACACACTGTTAGTGGGAATGAAATTAGTGTAGCCACTATAGAAATTAATACGGAGGTTCCTCAAAAAACTAAAAATAGAACTATCATATGAACCAGTGATTCCACTCCCGGCCATGTAACTAACTCGAGGAGTATAAGTCAGCATACAACAGCACAGCCATTTCACAGCAGCACTAGTCACAAGAACCTAACTGTGGAATCAGCCTTGATATCCATCAACTGATGAATGGATGAAGAAAATGTAGTGTATGTATACACAAGGGAGTATCATTCAGGCATAAAGAAGGATGAAATACAAAGAAATTTATGAAAAAGAGGCAGGGCACTGGTGGCTCACGCCTGTAATCCTAGCTTCTCAGGAGGCAGAGATCAGGAGGATCGTGATTCAAAGCCAGCCTGGGCAAATAGCTTGAGACTCTATATAAAAAAAACCATCACAAAAAAGGGCTGGTAGAGTGGCTCAAGGTGAAGGCCCTGAGTTCAAACCCCAGTACTACCAAAAAAAAAAAAAAAAAGAAAAAAGAAAGAAATTATGTTGTTTGCAGGAAGATGGATGTGTAAATTATGTTAAGCAAAGAAGCCAGACTGAGAAAGACAAATATCACGTGTTCTCTCATGTATGGAATCTAGATCTAAAAAAAAAGAATGACATGAGTGTAAAACGGGAATTGTTTGGAGGTGAGAATCAATGGGAGAAGAGTTAAAGGAGAGGGTGAACGTGCTTGATGCACTTCATATGCATATATGAAAATACAATGAAACCTATTGAAATTGTTTTAAAATGGGGGGAGGTGGGATAAAAAAGTCACAGAGGGGTGAATTTGATCAAAGTACATTATATGCATGTATGGGAATATCACAATGAAACCCTTTGTATGATTAATATATGCTAATGATAGAAAAATGATATATTTTTAAATTTAGGTATGGTGAGACAAACAGATGAGGAGATGAAGGCCACTGACAAGGAACTTGCTCTATTACAGATCCTCAGGGGAGGGGCATGCCATGTCACAGGGATCCACAAAGGAAGCAGCAAGGTCAATGAGGAAGCAAGGCAGAGGAAGTGGGTAAGAGGCTTTACTGAAGTTTCCACAGAAGGGAGGCAGGATAACCAAGTTTAGGATTGGCTACTTTGATTTCAGCAGGTTCTGGGGTGAATGGCCTTATGTTAGTCAGGCTCTGTCACTTGTGACAAAATACCTGAGATAACTTAAGTTGGCTGGGGGACATTCCAGATCTAAACTATAGCAGAGCTATACAACTACTTTTCTAATATCTGGTCCTGGGGTGATTATCCAGGTGGATAGTGGAGAATCTGAGTCCCATAAAGGAGATGGTTGGGATTAGTTGGTTTGTATATCAAAATGTACATTGATAGATGAGTCATTCACTCTCTCTAGGAATTGGCCAGTTAGCCCTGGGCAGTCTCTCAGGGCCATTCCCTACCCCCTCCCCCCGCCTTCCCCCAACACCTACCATGGCAAAGCATCAAAAACACATTACAGGGATACCACCAGAGGCTCGTGCTAGTTTTATCTTGGACTTTGCTCATGTGCCTTTTCCTTTGGCTCACTTTTTTTTTTGTGGTCCTAGGGCTTGAACTCAGGGCCTTCACCTACCACCAGCCCAATTTTTTGTGGTCAGGTTTTTTTGAGCTAGGGTCTCTCAAACTATTTGCTGGCTTCGAACTGCAATCCTCCTGATCTCTGCCTCCTGGGTAGCTAGGATTACAGGGGTGAGCCACCAGTACCTGGCTTTTTGGCTGACTTTGATCTGTATCCTTTGCTCTGAATAAAGCAGGAGTGCACTGAGTATGACAGCTTTTCTGAGTTCTGTAAATCCATCTAGTAAATCATGGAACCTGAGGGCTCTTGGAGATCCCTGACAAAGCTGCTGAAACCAACAACGGAAGGAAGGGTGGTGGGACAGACCAGGCTCTCAGTCACAGAAAGTTGGACCTCAAGATCACGTTTCTTTTGATATGATACAAAGTAAGTATAAAGAATCACCTAAATAGTATTCATGACAGCCAGACATGGGTGGCTCATGTCTGTAATCCTAGCTACTCAGAAGGCAGAGATCAGGAGGATCTTGGTTTGAAGCCAGCCAGGGAAAATAGTTCTCAAAACCCTATCTTGAGAAACCCTTCACAAAAATAGGGCTGGTGGAGTGGCTCAAGGTCAAGGCCCTGAGTTCAAGCCCCAGTGCCACACACACACAAAAGATTCATGTCAAATCAACCCGATCTGAATCTGATCAAGTTTCTATATTTAACTGCAAATTGACAGGGAGGAGAGAGGAACATGCTAAACAACACTAGAGGAAATAAGCACCAAATCCAGAATGCAGGAAATTTTACAAAGTAGGGGGAATTGCTATAAATTTGGGATAAAAGACATATCACATACACTGTGGACCTTGTTTGAGCCTAATTTAAACAATCAATACTTACGATACGTGAAGGCTAATGTGTGTGGTCCTCTGAACCTTTTCTCATCTGCACATTCTGCCTGCCTTTGCCTCATGTCCTTGCCACACAGCAGGGCCTCAGTGGCAGAAGGGCTGTCACAGGTACCTGGCCATCAGCAGCATAAAGCTGATGCTTTTAAGTCTGAGGGATGGATCCATGGGGGTCCTAAATTTTTATAACAAGTTAAAAAAACGTGTCTACCAGGAACCTCAGAATTTGACCTTGTTTGGAAATAGGGTCTTCGCAGAGAAAGCTGTTAAGATGAGATTAAAATGGATTAGGACAGGCCCTACCCAATGATTTTTTTTTTTGATGGGACTGGGGTTTGAAATCAGGGATTGATGCTTGCAAAGCAGGTGCTTTACCACTTGAGCCACACCTCCAGTCCATTTTGGTCTGGTTATTTTGGAGCTGGGGGTCTCATGAACTGTTTGCTTGAGTGACCCTCAAACCTTGATCCTCCCAATCTCAGCCTCCCAAGTAGCTAGGATTATAGGTATAAGCCACTAGTGCTATGATTACGGTTCTTACAAGAAGGCCATGTGAAGACACAGACACACAAAGGGAAGATGGCAAATGAAGACAGAGGCAAAAACTGGGGTGATGCAGCTACAAGCCAAAGAATGACTTGGACTGAGAGCAGCCACCAGTGGCTAAGGAAAAGGCAAGGATTCTTTCCGGGAGTGTTTAGAGTGAGCATTAAGTCCCACTGACAATTTAATTTTGGACTTCTAGCTCCCAGAATTGAGAGAATTTGTTGCTTTAGGCCACACAGCTTGTATTTTGTTAAGAAAACCCTATGAAACTGACACAGGCACAAAGGTTCTTTTTGGAGTGATGAAAATGTTTTAAAATCAATGGTTGCACAACTCTGGGGATATTCTAAAAATCACTAAATTGTATACTTTAAGTGGGTGTATTTTATGGTATGTGAATTATATATCACTAAAGCTGTGATTTAAAAGTACTTAAAGCTATAAAAAAGGCTGACCTTGAGTAACCCCAATGGTGGACTGCTTCCGCTTTTAGTCCACTTTTCAGGATGTGAAGAAACTGAGAGCTAAGTATTAAATGCTAGTTAAAGGGGGTTGATTGCTGGGTCTGTTGCTGATTTGCGGTAGGACTGTGTCCTCTTAGAACTCTCAGCAAAAAGTCAGAAGCCCAACTCCAACAGGCGTAATCAAAATAGGAATTTGTCTCACATAACTGGAGTCTAAGGTTGGGGGTACTGGTTTCAGACATCCACACAATGTCACTAGAGCTTTGATTCTCCTGGCTATCTCTATAAGGTAGGAAAGATGACTATTAGTAGTTCTAAGATTATGTGGCTCTCACAGCTCTGATCAAAAGATAATCTTGAGGTCTGGAGGCATGGTTCAAGTTGTAGAGCACTGCCTAGCAAGTGAGAAGCCCCTGATTTCAAATCCTAGTACCACCAAAAACAAACAAAAAGATAACCTTGGGCCGGGTGTGGTAGTGCATGCCTAAAATCCCAGCACTTGGGAGGCTGAGAAGGATGGAGAGTTCAAGATCAGTCAGCCTGAGCTATAAGGTGAGACCCTGTCTCACAAAACAAAAGAATCAGAAGAGAATCTTTCTTGATAGTTCTGAAAACAGGGTTGTCTATGGCTGGCTCACAGCCTTATTCCTGAGCTACAAAATAAAATTACCTTTAACCAAGTATGACTGCTGAACACTGGGAAAATGATAGTTCCCTAAAAGGCAGAATATGAAATACATGTTCACTGTACCAGGCAAAGCTGTAAAGCTTGCAGAGATTCAAACGTCATTTCAAGCCTAATAAATACTTGCTGAATCAATGTAGAAACACATAAAGCAGAGCTGCTGCAGAGTACTTTTAAAGCATCATGTTCCAAACCCTAATTTTGTATCTTAGAGAAGCAATAAAACACAACTGAAGTCAACTACCAAGGTCATTAGTGAGATGCCGTTTTAGCAGAGAGCCATGTCAATCAAGTATAGATTGCTGTGCTCTGGATTCCATCCACGTTACACAAAAGACACAGCACTCTGGAAGAAGCGTTCCCTGTCTCCCCCACCCCCTTTTCTTTTTCCTGATTCAGCCACCAGTAGATCTCAGGCTTGTCCAGCATGAAGGAAGAATAGTTGAATATGAAGGGTCCTGCTATCAGCAAGCCTCTGAAAACTTTTCCTTCTCATTTAAACTGGTGATAGTCCGATGGATTTCTGATCCAGGATCCAAATGCCTGCTCCCGGAGTGTGCTCCAGGCTTCCTGATAAGCAGATGCAGCCTCCTTATACTCGTGGTAGGTGTCCAGCTTCTGCACCCTAATGCACACATACCACCAAACATAGGTTCTCACTGAAATACTCACCCCTGGGGCCTAGAAGACATCTGAGCAAGCAACTTGGTCAGACTGGAATGGGAGACCAGGAGCAGAAGGATTTCAGTGTGTTTTCTCAGAGCAACTGTCTCCTTTGTAGGGAATTCATGTCAAAGCAACACAGGTTAAAACAGGTAAGAATGAACAGAATACTAGTTTTCTATAGTCCTGGTAGAATCAGATAAAACTAGAATAACTATTTTTTTGGTTTAAAGTTTTCCAAGGGTTTATAATTTCCACTAGAGAATCTAGAGATTAAAACTTTGTTGGCTTCATTTTTCCTCACAAATAACTGCCCATCAAATCCATATTCTCCTCCTATAAGCTGCCAGTAAACATTCTCTTCAAAACCTTTAGCTTCTCTGACAGGTAAGTGCCCACTGGCTTCCTGAACCACCAACTCCTGCAAAAGCAGCATCCTGCCATTCACAAGCCACAGAAGTCTTCCTCAATATTCAAAAACATGGGTTAACAGAGTCACCTGAGGGAGTCTGGCCACTTGTCCTCTGCAATTCTGCTTAGAAGCTTCTGGAATGATCTAAAGAGTTCCATTTTGCTGATTTGGGATCTGTTCAGAAAAGAAGGCAAAGATGACTGATTAGGTGTTTACTTTGTACCAGGCCACCACTGGAATGGCTTTATATGGTGTTTATGTCTGGATGTGCCAGATCCCCTGTCCATCTTGTACTTTTTTTTTTTTTTTTTTTCAGTACTGGGGTTTGAATTCAGGGCCTACACTTTGAGCCACTCCACCAGTCCTTTATTTGTGATGGGTTTTTTTTTGAGATAGAGTCTCGTGAACAATTTGCCCAGGCTGGCTTTGAAACATGATCCTCCCAACCTCTGCCTCCTGAGTAGCTAGGATTACAGGCATGAGCCACCAGTGCCTGGCTGTCCATCTGTACCTGGCAAAGAGAAAACCTAGACCTCGGGATGTTTGATCAGGCTGAGGTACAAAAATGAATCTCTTATTTTAAAAACTGTCATCAGCAGTGGAATCATTAGAGTGACAGGCTCAAATGGAGTACATGCTGAGACAGACTTAAAGTTTGTCTCAGAATATAACACACATCTGGTTTTTAAGGGAGTTTGTCTCAGAATATAACACACATCTTTTTAAGGGAGATGGCCTCTGTCGGCAACACAGCTTATAAAAGGTGGAAAGCATGCTGTTCCCTATGTGAACTATAAAGTTCACTTGGACAGCCAGGCATGGTGGTTCATGCCTATAATCCCAGCACTCAGGAGGCTGAGGCAGGAGGGTTGTGTGTTTGAGGCCAGCCTGGGTTACACAGTGAGACTCTTCTCCTCGTCCCCCGCAAAAAAGAAGACCACTTGGATGAGCCACCTAACATGGAGTCTCAGACTACCTGCTATGGGGTTCTGGGCCTCTGGAGGTCAAGCCTTTACTCCAAAACAGCAAACTTGTGGTGTGAATGGAGGTCAGGATTTGGAATTCTTAAGGAGGTGAGTGGTTGATTCTTTCTTTTCTTTTTGAGGGACTGGGGATCGAACCCAGGACCTTGCACATGTTAGGCAAGCGCTTTACCACTTGAGCCATACCTCCAGCCCACCAAGACACTTTTGAAAGACAAGGGGACAGGCTCTAACAGAAACTATCTTATTATACAGACAGGGTTGAGAATATGGTGTTGGTATAGGGATAAACAGAGAGAACAATGGAATAGAATAGAATGCCCAGAAACCAATACACATCTGTATGATTCTTAGATTTGCCACAAATATTCACCTGTGTATAGATTCTAATAAAATGCTACAGTTTCTATACCTGTAAAGAATACAACATAAAATGAACTTGGCAGGAAGTCTGTATTGCACACAGGAGTGTTTGTGTGTGTGTGTGTGTGTTTATAAATGACCATAACTAGGTCACTGCAGGTGTACCAGAAAGATATTGGACAAAAAAAAGCCCCGTATCTTAAAAATGCTTATCTTTTCTCCTACCCACTGAATAAAGTAGCCTGGTAGAACTGAATTCACTTATCCATCAACAGCTGAAAGCTCTAATAAGGTCCTATAGTTAAAGTTGTCACAATGTAAGAACTGTCAATTTGAAATACCAATTCCATGGAATGGAAACTTAAGCTACACAACTAAATATTGGGTAACTTGTTTATATAACTGCATTAGTCAAGCCCAGCTTAACTAATTACTACTCAGAAAATTAATACTTAAGGACAAAGTTATCTGTTAAATGTTAGGGAAAATATACCCAAAAGGTGGGCATCAAAGGAACTATACTGTTAAATGTTTTATTCATCTAGTGGTTTTATTATAAACACAAATATTTTTTATTTGACTTAAATGTATTGACTAACAAAGAATTAATTTTATGAAGATTTTCAACTTTAAAAATATTTTCCTGGTACATTTATTGAGGCACAAACCAGCTACATTAATCTAACACCACAATGGCAAGAAACTGAACTTGTGCCCTTCCTATGAGGATCAGGTTCTGATGTTACCCTCTAGAAAAGAACCAGAGCCTGGTACTGGTGGCTCATGCCTGTAATCCTCTGCCTCTTGGCAGAGACCAGGAGGAACATGGTTCAAAGCCAGTACTGGGGCAAATAGTTTGTGAGATCATATCTCGAAAATATCCAACAAAAAACAGGGCTGGCAGAATGGCTCAAGTGGTAGAGACCCTGCCTAACAAGCATGAGGTCTTGAGTTCAAACCCTAATATCACAAAAAAAGAAAAAAGAACCACAGTGCTGCAGAGAGTGGATTCCATATCTTGGAGTAGTGGAAGAGATGGTTATGGATCACCTCTTACATGATAAAGAAATGGGACTCCCTGGCAGAGCTCATCATAAAAAGGGTGCAAGAGAACAGTGTTTACAGCTAATAAAGACATATCAAATATGAAAAATCCATGGTCCTCTGGGAAGGTTTAGGGTTTCTTTTTCTTTTCAAACAACTAGTAGAATACATCTAGGCTGATTTTATCCAGATGATAACAAATGATGTTTTTTTCCTTCATTTTGAGATAGGGTCTCATGATATGACCTGGAACTCACAAATCCTCCTGCCTCAGCCTCCCAAGTTCTGGGATTGCAGGTGTTAGCCACCATGCCTGGTTCTATTTAACTTTTATTGTACTTATGTGCCTGAGTGGATAAAAGGATGCCCAGCTGTTATGTTTGTTAACTAGAATCAAACATTTCATCTCTAGATTTGGAACTCCACAATCATGTTCGGTAACATGGCTGTACATTTTATTGTTCAGGAAGTCTGGAAAGTATTACAGACTCAACATTTTCACTGCCCACATAACCCAGAATCTGCAAAGAAGAACATCAAAAATATAAACTAACATCTTACCCATGATGCTCATATTTTCATTTGAAATATGGATAGGTGAGTCCATAATCCAGTAGCTACCAATGAATGTGCAAATATCAGAGAACAATTTATTAAACTCTCACCAAGCATTGCTGAAGTATGCTGAAGCACTTCATTCACAAGAATAAGAAGCCCTAGTAACCCTACGACATCATGCTGTATAGCCTGGAGAACAGATCCACTATAAGTTCAGCATGCCACAGAAACCTCATGGAAGGAGAAGGCCTGCTGCATTCTACTGACCATCATCGTGGTGGTGCAACCTCAAGGCCTCCAGCCTCACTTCAGTGGCTACCAGTGTGGGATAGCCTAATAGCCTCTTGAGAATAGATCTGTAAGGGTTTCAACATTCTGCTCTCTGAAGAACAAACAAGAACATTCTTTATGAATGTTTTTGACCTAAGTCATCTTATCAGTAATGTTAAGATGTTACATCTATAGCTGGGTATTGGTAGGCTCACACTACTTGTGAGGCTAAGATTGGGAGGCTTGCAGTTCAAAGCCAGCCTGGGTTAAATAGTTCCTGAGATCCCATCATCTCCAAAATAACCAGAGCAAAAATGGATTGGAGATGTGGCTCAAGTGGTAGAGAGCATGAAGCCCTTAGTTCAAATCCCAGTCCCACCAAAAAAAAAAAGAAAAAAAATGTTACATCTATAAGTCAGATTAGGAGCTGGAGGTATACTGATTGCCTAGCATACATGAGTTCCTGGATTCACTCCCCCACCACACACACACACACACACACACACACACACACAAAGCAGATTGTTGGGAATCTTTCCTCTGCTGGAGAAGAACTCTTTTACTTCTCTCATTGAGAGTAGTAAGCATTCTCTCAAGATGTATTCAAGTGCAAAACACAATGACCACACAAGTAACTGCTATGTCACAGAGAGATCTACACAATAAAAACGACTTTAGTTATCTGATGTACATAACAATCTTATAGGCAGTTGCTAGCTGCTACGGAAACACATTAGGAGGTAGAGGAACATAGGCAGTTAGGCCCATGGTATCAAGACTCATGAGCCACTGGAGTTCCAAGGTCTCTGTGAAAAAACAACAGGCATGGAGACTCTCAAGGTCTCCATGAAAAAGCAATAGGCAGAGACTCCTGAGGCTTCCATGGGAAAGTAACAGGCACTTTCTCATCTAAAGGAATGAGGCCAAAACCCTTCAGCAAATCCTAGCCATTGTCTGACATGTGATCAGAGACCTGATAGGGCAAGACACACATAAACAAAGCATGCAGATGCCTGGTTGGCCCAAGAAGGCAATCTGAATGGTTGCCAGCCAATCAGGATAAGGGGCTTTGTTTGAAGTTCCTTCCTTATAGCAATATAAGCCACTAGACAAAGACCAGCCAGCAGCTCTCTTTCGGGACCCCTCCCAGTTGTGGGAGCTCTGTTCTTTGCTTTTTCTCTCTCTCAGTATATTTTTCCTCTTTGCTCACTCTTGTTGTCAGTGATTTTTATTCTTCCAAATTGTAAGAAAAAGACCCTGAGTTCAAAGAGAATAAGTCAAAAATAATATCAAAAAAGAGCTTCCTCACACCCCCATTCTGAGCAAAGCAGCAAATGGAAGTCACAGTCAGCTGGGAGGGGCCAGTATGAGGAGTTGCAAGGCTGTCACTGACAACAAAGACAGAGTTTAGCAGGAAACCTGTAGTCCTGGACCTCATGATCTGCTCTGCTCACACATCTGGCTTTGTGGCTGACAGCTGGTATACTAAAGAGTACAAAAGGGTGCCCAAAACAAGGAAGGCTCCTGGGGAAAAACTGATCCAAAAATCTCTACTATTAATAATTTTCATTTCAATAGCCTAGGCTTTCAGGAGACAGGCTAGTTTGACTGGGGCTGTGACTCAAGTGGTAAAGCACTTGACTTTTGTGCTTAAAGGACACTAAAAAGTGAAGAGACAACCCACAGAACTGGAGAAAATATCTGCAAGTCATATATCTGATAAAGGATTTGTATCCAGAGTGTACAAAGGAGTCTTACAACTCAGCATTAAACAGACAAACTAAATAACAACATGGGCAAGGAATGGGATAGATATTTCTCTCTGAAAGATATATAAATGGCTATCAGATACATACAAAGATGTTCAACACCACTAGTCATTAAGACAATGCAAATCAAAACAACAATGAAATACCTCTTCATACACAATAGAAAGACTACAATAAAAAAGATAATAAGCCAGGAGTGGTGGCACATGCCTATCTGTAATCCCACCACCCGGGAGGCTGAGGTAGGAGGACAGGAGACCAGCCTGGGTTACATAGTGAGACCTTGTTTCAAAAAGAACAAAACAACAACAAAAAAATCTTTTATAATAAGTGCTGTAAAGGATGCAGGGTAATTGAAACTTCCCTACATTGCTGGTAGGAATCTAAAATGGTATTGCTACTATGGAAAACAGTTCAGAGCTCCTCAAAAAGTTAACCATTGGTTGGGGACATAGTTCAAGTATGGTGGAGCACCTGCCCAGCAAGTCCCAGGCCCTGAGTTCAAACCCCAATACTACCAAAAAAGAAAAAAAAAGTTAACCATATGGTTACCATATGACCTAGCAATCCCACTCCATGCCCAAGAGAAACAAAAACAAAACTCTGTAGACAATTGTTCATAGTGGCATCATTTATGATAGCCAAAAAGTAGAAAAATCCAAATAGCCATCAGGAGATTGAAGAATGGAGAAGCCAAATGTGGCATGTCCGTTCAATGGAATAAAAAGCTATAAAAAGGAATGACGTGACTCACCCATGTTATACAAATGAACCATGAAAACATGCTAAGTGAATGAAGCTAGACACAAAAGGCCATATACTGCTGGGCACCAATGGCTCACGCCTATAATCCTAGCTACTCACAAGGTAGAGATCAGGAGGATTGTGCTTCAAAGTCAGCCCCCAGCAAACAGTTCTCGAGAACCTATCTCAAAAAAAACATACCACATAAAAAGGGCTGGTGGAGTGACTCAAGGTGCAGGCCTGAGTTCAAGCCCCAGCACCACACACACAAAAAAAGGGCCACATACTATATGATTTCATTTATATAAAATGTCCAGGCAAGACAAATCCATGCAGAGAAAAAGTAAAGGGTTTCCAAGGGCCAGGGTGAAGAACAGAAAGTGACTGCTAATGAGTTAGGTTTTCTTTTTGGGGTGATGAACATGTTCTGGAATTAGAGAGGGGAGGAGTGAGTTCGCAGCCACTGTCTCCTCTGCCCCACATGCTGTACCTGGCCTGAAGGCTTCCAATTCCTTTCTTTGTTGTTCCCTGTGGAAAGCCATTGGCAGTAACATCCAAAGGGTGCTCAGGAACTGCACTCCAGCTGATAGCTACAGAGAGAGAAAATGCTGGGGTTAAATTGTTCACTTTCCTGTGAATGACAGAATATTGTACTAAAAATATTTCTCTTACTCTATAGACCCAAGACAGCTGGATACGACAAAGAGAATGACTCCGAGTTATGATACTATAAAGTAGTTTGTGATTATCATCATTAGAATGGCTTACAATTTCACTAAGCATTTATTATACCCAGGACAGAGAAAATGCATTAATTAGAATTTCTCAATTCTCACAGTAACCATGATGGACAAGTCTTGAGGCCAGGAGAGGGTAAGTAACTTGCCACAGGTCAAAGTTAACCCAGTGTGAATGTAAAGCACCCACCCTTGACTGCTTAAGTAAACTGCCTTCTCAGGCTGCGAGGATGCAGACTTTCCCAGAAGAGAAATTGTTCCAGGAGCTTTTTTGTGGGTGGTGGCAAATGCGGAGACAGCACCATGAAGGCCTCTGGCACGCTCGGGAGTACAAGGTTGTAGGGCGCTGCCTGACGACCCCCAAGTGACCACGTGCCTGTACTGCATGTGCACTTTAGCGGCCAACCATGTCGTGGCCAAGTCTCAGTTCTTGTACTTTGAGTCGTAACTGAAGATGTTGTTGGGGGAAATCGTGCCCTGCGGGCAGGTGTTTGACAAGTCCCCACTGTGGGTGAAGAACTTCGGCGTGTGGCTGTGCTTTGACTCCCGCAGCCGGACACACAACAGGTACCACGAGTATGGACCTGACTACATGGGCGCCTGGCACCGCGCCCACACGCACTCCATCCAGATCATGAAAGTGGAGGAGATCGCAGCCGGCCACTCACTGGCCGGCTGTCAAGCAGTTCCACAACTCCAAGATCAAGTTCCTTCTGCCCCACCACATCTGTGGTGCCAGCACAAGCCCTGCTTCACTGCTAAGAGGCCCAACACCTTCTTCTAGGTGCAGCCTTGCTGCCCCCAATAAACCAGCGACCCAAAAAATAAAAAATAAAAGAAATTGTACCAGGGCAAGTGCCACTTGGATATTTTACCTGCCCACAAGGAACAAGTCGGCCAGGACTGTCACCCCTTTTCGCCTGTACTGCACAGCGGCTCTGTTCAAATTGTAAATTTGACTGCTGTATTTTCAGTTCTTCAACTCTGAAGCCTTTGGGTAAAGCTGAAACTTTCTGACACCTGAATGTGAGGAAAACCACATTCAGTTTGTGGGCACTTCTAAAGAAAAAGTCTCAGATTGTGGACCACATCATCACCCCTGAGCCTTAGTGGGAGGCAGAGGCCTCAGCAGCTATGTGAATCTACTTGCCTGTTTATGGGGGTGGGAACAAGAAACCATCCCAGAATAGATTTAGATAGTAAGAACATTAAGGCCAGAGTAAAATCCCTTCCTATTGCTCTGAAGGGATAACTAAGAATTGAGTCAACACACCCATGAGTCATGTCAGAAACAATGAACTTCATTCCTTTTTTGGGCATGAACTCAGGGCTTCATGCTTAGAAGGTAGGTGCTATACCACTTGAGCCACTCCTCCAGCCCTTTGTGTTGGGTTTTTTTTGAGATAGGGTCTCATGAACTATTTGCTGAGGCTAGCTTTGAACTGCAATCCTCCTGATCTCTGCCTCCTGAGTAGCTAGGATTACAGGTATAAGCCACAGGTATAAGCCACCGTTGCCAGCTCAAACTTCACATTCTTCATTTGAAGAAATACTAACCTGCTGGATCCTAGAACTCCTTCAAAAGTAACAGAAACTAAAATTACCCTATAATACAAAGCCTTCATTTTTCCCTCTTGTGTTTCTTGCACAAACTGCATGCCACCATGATGCTGATATAGAACACGAAGGGCAGATAGCAACTTCAAAGCCAGGAACCTTATGCCTGTTACCAGTCACTATCCATCCCTTCTCCAGCCTCTGGTAGCCACTAATCTGCTGGTCTAATCCATAGATCACCACCATGTCTCTATGGATTTGCCTCTTCTGGATATTTCACATAAATGAAATTGTATTACTGCACTAAGCATGGTATTTTCATGCTGTACCATGTATTACAGCAATTAATATTTGACTGAGTGGATATATCACATTTTGTTTATCCATTCACCCACTGACAGGCATTTGGGTTGTTTCACTTTTTGGCTATTGTAAGTAATTTTGCTATAAATATTTGTGTGTAAGTTTTTGTGTGGATGTATGTTTTCATTTATCTTGGGAACGTACATGGGAATGGAGCTGCTGGTTATATCCTGGAGCTGCTTTTTGGACTCTGTTTCAGAGGCTATATGTTTGACATGGGCTCATGCTGCTTCCACTGGTATGGCTTCCCTGGCCTTCATTTATTGCAGCATTAAGCAGATTTGGCTGTCTCTTTAGGGAGATGACATATGAGTGATCATAAGTATGGTCATTCTTTGTCTTTAACCTTTTAAAAAATTAATAGAGTTGGGCATGGTAGGGCATACTTGTAATCCAAGAACTCAAGAGGCTAGGGTAGGACGATCACAGGTTGAGGCCAGCCTGGGCTACACAGTGAAACAGTCTGAAACAAACAAGAAAAATACAAACCAACCAACCAAACAAACAATACAGGAAAAAAAGATTCCCAAACTAGTATTTTAAGATTTTTTGTTCTACAATGACGATAGATGTATACTGTAGAAAGACTGGAAAATACTAGTAATAATGAAGAAGAAAAACCTGCCTGTAATTATAAACATCTTTCAATATTAAATTTTCATCAGTATTCATCAGTATTGTTTTAACAACAACAAAAAAATCACTTAAGTTCCCACTACTGGGTATTTCCAGCTTCCTTTTTTTTTTTTGTAGCATGACTATATATAAACTTAAGTGTTTATACTCTTAGTTACTTATTTAACACAAATCTCAATATGTAGCTCAGGCTGGCCTAGAAGTCACTATGTAGCCTGGGCTGGCCTCAAACTCATGATCTCCTGCTTCTGCTTCCCAAATATGGTTTACAGACTTGTACCCATGTTCAGCTACTTTCTTAATTTTAGGAAAAATTCCTTGGTGCAACTGCTAAATTAAAAAGACACTTTTCTTTTTCTTTTCAGAACTCAGGGTCTTGCACTTGCTAGGCAGGTACTTTACTACTTGAGCTACAACCCCAGCCTGTGTGGTATTATGTCTCTTCAGACATTCTCAGACTACCCTCCCCCAAGCCTGTTCACCTCTCAATCAGTGCTCTCTGCATGACTTCCTGGCTGTATGGGCACTTCCCAATGACCACAGCTGATAAGTAGATAGGCTCTTCTAGGAAGTGCATCAACAGTGCACCCTGGCATCCAAGGACATTCCATCGGGCCACCTTGTCACTGCAGGACATGGAACAAGTCCTGTCTCCCCGTCCCGGCTTCACTCGCAGCAGCCCCACCTGGTGATATGCAGCACCTGGCTTCCTTGAGTCCCCAGCTTCTCCAGGCACACACTTGGCTCCAGTTCTATAAATGTCCACCACTTTGACATCATGGGGAGATATTCCAGTGACAGTGGCCAGTCTCTCTCCAGTGAGATTAGAGCTGTTTACATCTGGTGTGACTGGGACACTTTCCTGCTTGCCATGGTGACCTATACCATTGGTGACCAATCTGGCAGGAGTTCCAAGCCTCATCTTTTTGGCTAGAGGACTGTGAAGGTCTCCACAATTCCTTTTATTTTTAAGAACTTCCAGGTTACCAGTGGCTTCAACAGATGAGTTGTTGCTAACAGGACAGCAAGGCTGTTCTTCAAACTCAAGCATTGGAATGATGGAGGCATCCCCACCTGTAAATGAGAAGGAACCCTTAAATCAGCAGTTCTCTCCAGGCACCAGTGCCTCACACCTATAATCCTATCTACTCAGGAGGCAGAGATCAGGAGAATTACATTTTGATGCCAGTCTTGGACAAATACTTGCAGAGATCCTATCTTTAAAAAACCCATCATAGAAAAGGGCTGGCAAAGTGGCTCAAGTGGTAAGAAGTGAAGCCCTGAGTTCAAATCCCAGTGCCACCAAAAAAAAAAAAAACAAAAAAACAAACGAAAAAAAATCAGCATTTCTCAAAATGAGATCCCTGGGCCAGCTACATCAACATACCTTACAGACTTGTTAGAAATGCAAAATATTTGGTTCCAGAGTAGACCTGTTGAATCAGAAGTAATGAAGGTGGGGCTCAGCAGCTGTTTTAACAAGTTATCCAGGTGACTCTGGTGCAAGCTCAAGTTTGAGAATCACTGCTTTAACCCAAGATCAATCAAATTCCCCCCAGCTGATCTGAGAGGAGAAGGGCATATATAAATTCCCCTAATGAGAATCTCTGGGGTTCTTATTGAGGGCCCTCTCCTAGACTCAGTGAGTTGAAATTTCTGAAGGAAATAGATGTGGAAAACTGAATACTTACACAAAGAGTTGGTTAGAAATACAGAACCTCAGTCCCACTCTGGACCTATCCAATCTGAATCTGCATTTTAACCAGATCCATGGATGACTGATATGCTTGATACTGTTTGAGATGTCCTGAATAGAAAACATCCTTTGGTCCTTGGACCAGGGCACCCACTGAATACAGCACATGAATACAGCACAGATAAGGCCTGTCTACATCTGTCATTTTTCTGGCCTTTGATTCTTAACCAACTCATTTCCCACACTTATTCTTCTTAAGCTATAACAATATTTTCAATTTGAGTTATATTCAAATCTTGACAGATGTTCTGTTTTTTTATAGTGACGATCCATCTCTGCTCTAGTTGCACTAAAGTTTAATACTCAGAGAACAATCTTATACTCTTATGTCAGTTTTTCAGGTCTGGAAATTTTACTGCCATCCCTGAGCTACTGTCTACATAAAGTAGGTATTAATTTCAGTTTTTGAGAAAGAAAAATAAAGGACAGAAACAACCCACTAGGTCATCTAGGTTAGGTGTGTGGGAGAAGAAAACAAAAGAGAAGTCTGGTCTGAGTAACCACAGGCCTTGAAACATTCCCTAATAACTCATCAAACTTTATCTTAACTAACCACAACTATCTATATGCCCTAAAAGACTTCTAGGACAAGCAATATGCTGGTTTTATTCATTACTATATGCTCAGTATATCATGTTGTGTTTGACTAGTAGAAAATATTTCTTCAGGATGTTCATGGTGCATACACCTGAAATCTTAAGGAAGATTGCGAACTTGAGGCTAGCACAAACTACACAGCAGGACCCTGTCTCAAAAAAATGAGAGTAAAAGTGAGAGAGAGAGAGAAAGAGAGAGAGAGAGAGAGAGAGAGAGAGAATGCAAGCGAGCTCAAGGCATTTATTCAATGAATGACTAAATGAAATGAGTTTCAGGAAAAGTTACTGTAGTAGAACTCTGACCTTCTAAGCTTCATTGTGTATTCACATCTTGGAGGGTTTAAGCCTTTAGCTTCCCAATCCTGATTCTGATAACAGTATAAATGAGAGTACACATCTTCCTACCTCTACATTCTTCCTTCTCCCTAGTTAGAGAAGTGATTAGGTACATAAAAAGACAGGTACCAGTTGTAGCTATACTTTAGCTAGAAGTGTTTTTGAGAAGCATCTTTATAGAAAAGACAGAAATAAGGAAGTAGACAAGGCAACATTACTCCAAAGGCTTGAATATACTTACAGGGTGTGTGGCTGGAGAAGAAAACAAAAGAGAAGTCTGGTCTGAGTTTCCATAGTCCTCTTTGAGAGCCTGGGACAAAGATACTATCCTCTTTCAGGGTGGCTGCCAAGTGGAGCTGATGGGTAAGGTATCTAAAGGTTGGAGATATTATTAGAATGAGTAACAGGGGCTGGCAGAGTTGCTGAAGTGCAAGGCCATGAGATCAACCACCAGAACCACAACCTTCCCCAAAAGAGTGAATGATGGGGCCAGAGATTTGCTAGTGGTAGAGCACTTGCCTAATGTGTGCAAGGCCCTGAGTTTGATCCCCAGCACCACAAAAATTAATTAATTAAAAAAAGAGAAAAAAATGCATGAATAAGAAAATTCTGTGGGAGAAAGAGATCTCTGGTGGGGTGATTCTTTACTAAGAAAGAGTCACTGTAGGCCAGTAGGACTGGTAGTGGTTTGGAGTTATAAGAATGATCCAGACTACTGATTCTCAACATATAGCCCCTGTGCCAGCATTATCTGGGAATTTGTTAGAAATTCTAGGCAATTTTTCAGTCTGGCAGAGTGGCTCAAGTGGTAAGAGCACCTGCCCAGCAAGCAAACATGAATCTCTGAGATCAAACCCCAGTGCCACAAAAAAAAGGCCATTTCTCAGGCTCTGCAATGGATCTGCTGAATCAGAATCTCTAGGGGCAGGGGCTAGAAATTTTTTGTTTTTTCTTTGCAGTGCTGGGGAGCAAACCCTGGGCCTTGTGCATGTTAGGAAAGAGCTCTACCTCTAAGCTACATCCCCAGTCCCAGCAGTCTGGGTATTTATTAACAGCTGTCCAGGTGGTTCTGAGACATACTGAAGTTAGAGAACCACTGGTCTACACCCCAGTAGTTCACAGACTAACATAATCTGCATTGCCTCGGAACCTGTTTAGAAATTCAAGTTCTCAGCCCGGTGCCAGTGGCTCAATGTAATCCTAGCTGCTGGGGAGGAAGATCACAATTCGAAGGTAGCCTGGGCAAAACAAAACAAAACAAAACAAAAAAAAGCAAGACCCTATCTTAAAATAGCCAACACAGAATAGGGCTAGTGAAGTGCCTCAAGTGGTAGAGCACCTGCCTAGCAAGCATGAGGCTCTGAGTTCAATCCCCAGTATGGAGAAAAAAAAAAAAAAGGAAATACAAATTTTGAGTTAGGTGTGATGGCTCATGGCTGTAATCCTAGCTACTCCATAGGCAGAGATCGGGAGGATCAAGGTTCCAGGCTAGTACAGGCAAAAAGTTTGTAAGACCCCACTCAGTCCTTAAAAAAAAAAAAAGATGGATGCAGTGGTTTGTGACTGTCATCCCAACGAAGTGGGAAGCATAAATTTGAGGTCCTGGGCCAGCCATGGCATTAAAGTGAGACCCTATCTAAAAAATAATGAAAGCAAAAAGGGCTGGAGGCATGGTTAGTGGTAAAGCATCTGCCTGGCAAGCACAAGGCCCTGAGTTCAAACTCTAGTATCGCCAAAAAAAAAAAAAAAAAAAGCAAATTCTGGGGTCCCCTCCTCAGACCTGCTAATCAGACTCTCTTTACCTTTGGAAACTCCTTCTGGCTATGACTTCGGCATGGCTATCATTGAGGATGTCTCCTGTGGCAAAGACAGGATACTAGGTGAAGACATATGGAACCTGGAGAGGTTCTGGTTTCTAGAAGCAGAACACAGCAGTCCCCCCATGCAGCTCAGTGAGGGCTAGAAAGTATTACAATTGTAGTGAGAATACATTTATAGCCGAGATTCTCAATTCAGCAGACATCTTGGGGCCAGAAAATCTTTGTTGCAGGGGGTCAGCAATATAGGATGTTTAGCAGCACATCCTGCTAAACACCCTGGCCTCAGTGGTGACAACCCAAACTACCTCTTGATATTGCCAAATGTCCTCAGGGGTGCAAAACTGCCCCTAGTTGCAAACCACAGATTTATAGAAATATTTTTTACCTGAGGTCAGGGGTACAGATCTTTTGTAAAATGTCATACTTGTGCTCATGGTGAAACAACACCTTGGGCCTATAATAGCTTCCTCATATCTGGAAGGCAAGGCTAAGAGAATAGAGGAAGCAAGAGGAAACTGCTAATTGGAGCAGAAGGTAAAGATCCCAGACCTCCTGTTGGTCCCTGAAACTCCATTTAATTCAAGATGGCTTTCTAGAGCTTCATAAGCCACTCAAGTTGCATCCATCATCTTCCAGACATTATGTGAACTAGGTAAACCCAGGGAACCAGTGGTTTGAGCATGAAAACACTGGTGCTTTCAGTTTACTCATAAGGTGTGTTCCTGTATTTTTTTTGGTGGTACTGGGGTTTGAACTCAGGACCTTGTCCTTGCTAGACAAGCACTTTACCACTTGAACCAAACCCCCAGTCCTTTATTTATTTATTTATTTATTTATTTTTAAGAAAGGTTTCAGCATGTAGCACAGTTTGGCCATGAACTTGTGATCCTCCTGGCTCATCCTCCCAAGTACTGGGATCACAGGCATGTACCACCACAGGTGGTACTGGGGTTTCAACCGAGGGCTTCACACTTGCTAGGCAGGTGCTCTACCACTTGAGCCACTCTGCCAGGCCTTCAGATAGACAATTCTGTGTTTAGACCTCCCCACCTTTGCTTACCACTCTTCCTCATTTTGGACTGGCCTATGCATTTCGTTCCTGTTCCCATTGAGACAACTTCTTTTGTCACTGAGAGGAAAAAACCAAATCATTAATGTTCCCTAGTGCACAGGTTTAATAAGTGGGCACATTCCTCCAGAGGATTCCCACAGGCCCACTCAACTAAGTCTGTGGTTCCAGTGGGTGGTCAGCTGCCACCAGAACTGTGCCATCTGGTGGAGATCAGAGAAACAGGCCTAACACTGCTAACATCCTGCTCAGGATGTAATGTATAATTCTATTGTCTTTGACAGGGAGAAGAGAAAAAGTCTCACCTTGTACTGGCTTATCAGGGATGTCACAAGCCTGGTCAGAAAACTGTATCTTTACCACAGCTGCCAACAAGGTCCACTGGCGGTTTGGCTCAGGCTTCCCCTTGCTTGGGCAGCCTGATTGCATAATGCTCATAGCACAGCTGAGCAATCTCATCAGCGGTCCACATAGTGGGAGCTGGAGCCAAGGCCCTGACCAACAGCCACAACCTTTAAAAGTACAGAAAGGAGAACCAGCACAACACACCACAGCCTGTACCAGTTCTTCAACAGTCTTCCCAATGTAGCCCAAAGACTGAGATTCTTATAGCTAGAACTAATTTACTTATCTTACTACCTCCCTGCTTTCAATTTTTTTTTTTTTTTGGCAGTACTGGCGTTTGAACTCAGGGCCTCATGCTTGTTAGGCAGCAGCTCTACCACTTGAGCCACTCCACCAGCCCTTTCTTGTGTTGGGTATTTTGAACATAGGTTCTTCCAAACTATTTGCCAGGGCTGGCTTCAAACTGGGATCGTCCTGATCTCTGCCTCTGAGTAGCTAGGATTGCAGGCATGAGCCACTGGCACCCAGTCCCTTTCATTTTTAATAAAAGAGTAAAGAAGCCCCAAATCTCACCAGCCCAGAATACACCTTGCTTCAAACTTTTAAAAATATTTTTAGATAGCTAACACATATTTAGTGAATCTGAATTTACCACTCAACACAAAAGCATGTGACAGGAAGTATCCTATTTCAATTTTCATTTGGAAACAATGTGCAAAGGGGTGCAGACTTCAGCTTGCTTTGTGCAGAGCCTTACAGTGATACAATGCTCATCTTTCTGGACAGATGTTTGTCCATCTTCTTTTTCAGGTACTGTATTTTTCTCTTCTTTCACCAACAGCAGAGTAAATCTACTTTCTATTAGTAAATCTCTACTGGTATGTCCCTTAACAGTTAAATATTTTTATAGGAGTTGTGCTTAAGGGTATGGGCATGGAGTTGTCCTTTCTGGGTTCTGATTCTGGCTTTGCCACAAAATAGCTGTGTGATACTGGGTAGATTACTTACTTAACCTGTTTTAGTTTCCTTACCTATTAAAATAGGGATTATTATCTCAACTATTTATAAGGCAACTGCTGCAATTCTGAGCAATTAAAGTCAACTGTGATTAAATTACAAAAGATAACATTTGATGATTGTCCTGAGTAATTTGCCCTGAGCTACTTGGTGGTGGGGTAAGAGGGTAGGGAGGATTGTAATGGGCAAATAAAATCACGAATAATAAAACATTAGGCAGATCAGACTAGAAAGAGGCCTGGGATACTCTTCAGTGTGGAGACACTCTCCCACTCTTCCCTCCATTAATGCTCAAGATATATCCTGACCTTGTCTGGACTCAAGGATATGAAAAGATTCTTAGAAGAGGAGATAATATGTTGCATAGATACAGGAAAGCATTTGTAAAACAAAACCAAAATAGGCTTTACTGCCTCCAAAGCATGTAATGCTTTTGAAAGACATTTCTACAATGAGCTCCCTGCAAAGTGCAGGCCTGTCATTGTAGTAGAAAGTAATGATTAATCAGACCATGGTGATTTAAGATGAAAATCTGGCAGGAACTGACAGAAATTGTGACTTTAAAGTCTTATATTGGGCTGGTGGAGTGGCTCAAGTGGTAGAGAACCTGCCTAGCAAGTGTAAGGCCCTGAGTTCAAACACCAGCACCGCCTGAAAAATAAAAAGAAGCCAGCAAATGCTACAAATCAGGGCTTCAAATAAATAAAGTCTTGTATCTCTAGCAGCACGGAAAAGCAGGGGAGATCTTTAAATCCCTTGTTTGGATGGGGCTCCGGTTAGTTCCAAGGAGGCACCATAAGGCAGTTTATTTTCTGAAGACAGATACCCTGCCATCGATCTGAAATTAAAGCAGGGGTACACATCACAAACTTAACGGCCAAGCAAGCACGAACCTTGCAGAAGAAACATGCCATTCAGGTATGTGACTCTGCACGAGCATGCACGGTTGCTGAAATGAAAGAACGTTTTACTATCCGGGACCATTAGAATTGAAGCCTACACCCTTCCCAGAGCTTCATGAACTTCCTATGAAGCAGGCACTTCTCTGTCCACAAGATCGCATCTTGTACCAGTGGCAAGAAGCTGAAAGAGCCACTTCCTCATCGAAGAGAAGTCAGCGGCCAGGAGAAAGGCCTTCGCGGTGTGGGGAAGACGCCCACTTTCACCTGACGTCCGCCTTCAGTACCCCGGGGTGGGCTCGGCTGCGCGGGAAGCGGCGGCGGGGCACGAGGCGGTGAGGCAGCGATCACGTGAGCACCTACCTCACTGGTCACGCAGCACGCTGCCCGAGGCCACGAGCCGCGCTCGTCCGCTGTGGACCTGGTTTCCCACGTGACGCGGGTCTGGTTAAGGCACTATCCTCACCACCTCTAACCACGCAAAATAAGCTGGGTAAAGCCAGGCAGGAGTCACCTGACTTAGCGGTCCACGGAACCCCTTAACTGCGCACTCCGAGCCAGGCGACCCCAACTTCTCACAGATACACCCCGCCCCGGCCTCCAAGCCGCGCGCCCTCGGACACAGCAGAACGTCTGCCGCATGGCGGCTGTGACGTCACAACCGCGACTGCCCCTTCCGCGACCCGCCCCCTAGGCGCGCAGGGCACGCTGGTCCTTGTAGTCATTGGATGCGCCGGCGGGCCACGCCCCGGTATCTGTAGCTTCCTGTGGAGTGCTTAGAAACACGGGAACCGCCTGCCGGGTGAGAGATTGACTCAAATAGGGTGGTGGGTTTTGGAACTTGCCTTTGAATTTCTGGTAAACTAGCGCTCTCCATTAGGAATATAATGGAGCCATATATGTAATTAAACATTTTCTAGTAGGCATATTTCAAAGGTCAAAAGAAATGGGTGAAATTATCTTTAATCATACATTAGTTTTTCATACTAGGTCTTAAGAAGTCTGGTGTATATTTTACACTTACATCGCAATTCAACCACATTTCAGATTGTCCACAGCCACTTGTGACTAATTGGCTGCTGAAGTGGACATCACGGGTCTAAAATCTTCATACAGCTGTCTGGATAGTTCAGGCGCCCTTTCCTGCTAACGTGAAGATAGAAAATTTTCTTTTTGCTACCCCTCAGAAGTTAGGAGGCGATTTAAAAAAAGGCAGAAGTGCAATTTCTCTCTAGTTAGCAGGGTCAGTCTTCCTCCAAGGCTAAGGGTGGTACTTACTCGCTTCTCTCTCAAACTTGTTTTTGTGGTTCTGGGGCTTGTACTCAGGGTTTGCACCTTAGGCCACTCCACCATCCATTTTTTTGTGAAGGATTTTTTCAGGATAGGGTCTTGGGAACCATTTCCTGGGGCTGGCTTTGAACCACGATTCTCTTGATCTGTCTCCTGAGTAGCTAGGATTACAGGCGTGAGCCACCAGCACTGGCTTCTCTCAAACATTTTAAAGCTGAAACTGACCCCCCTTCTGGCTTTAAATAAGTACCCATCCTGGTCTGGAGGGCCAATTTTGTCTCAGGTAAAGTTGCACAAACTAAAAAGTCAGTCACCTCATCAGCTCACTTACCTTCATACATAATACAATCCTGTTACCAAGTCCTGTGGTCTTTATCTCTTGAACTCACCCACTTGGCTCCACTTCCATGGCAGTGCCTTACTCCAAGTCACAGACATCTCCCTCTTGGATAGATTGCTACTCTAATCTCTGAATTTTCATCTTTTTCTTGCTTAACTTCATTTTCCAGAGCAGCCAGATTGTTTTCAAGCCACAAACATGACATTCCCCTGCTTAAATTCTTCAGTAGCTTCCCAATACTTGCCCTGAATAACCACTCTCTTCCTGCCTTCTCTGGCCTAAGTCTGGTGTCATTGGCTTCTTCCATGCTCCTTCCCACCACAGGGCCTTTGCACTAATTTCTGTAACATGGAAAACCCTTCCCCATTCTTCTACCTCCCTTCAGATCTCAGATGTGTATCCTCAGGGAAATCTTCCCAAACTAGGTTCATCATAGTTTCTCATGATAGAAACTATGAAGGATGGAAACCACAGACCTCTTCTTCAAAGTACTTACCAATGCTGCCATTTTTTATACAATTTTGAGGAATAGTTTATTAAATTTCTATTTTCCTTACAAGTTTAGAAGCTGGTAATGTTTTTTCTGCTCCAGTACAGAAGTTAGTGAATTGTGAGCCTTCAGCTGTTTGATGAGGTAATGAGGATTTTGATTCTTCCATTCCTTCTAGCTCTCATTGTTTGTCAGTTTTCCTGCCAAATCCCACATGCAAGTTGCCTGCTGCTGCCAGGGTTCTATTATCAGCCTGGACAGCTGGCTTCTGCCTTCAGCCTTCTACTGACTCTTTAGGACACTTGAAGTCCTTGCAACTTCTTTCTGTGGTGTGCATTGTTTCATATCCAGTCTCTTGTCTGGCCTTTACCGGAAAGATTGTCTCCCATCTTAGTTCACATCTTCTTCTGAAAGACCAGCTGGTCCCTATGGCTTAAACACCAGCAAGGCCAGGGAGGGGGAGGCTCTATAGCCCCCAAAGTAGTTTCCAGGTAGGTAGTTGTGCATGCTTAGGGCATTTTACCAATTAACAGAAGAAACCTGCTCTGCAAAGTAGACTAGGAACTCCCAAATGGGAACTCTTGCAAGGTTTTGCTGTTACGAAAAAAACACTCCGTTGTAACAGCAGGATTTCGGCCACACATTCTTAACCCTGTTGACTTGAGCTAAAAGTAATGAGAAGAGTTCAGGATCGCTATTCAAATTCTGATTAACTTCCACCTGCATTGGCATGTCAAACTTAATACGCACCACACCAACCCTCAACCTTCCTTCCAAACCTAGACTTTTTCAATAAATGGCAGCTCTGGCTTTTTCAGTTGTTCAGGACCCAAACCTTGAAATCATGCTTTTCTTTTTCTCACTTGACACCAATCAGTGTCGTCCGTTGCCCTCAGGAAAGTAGGTGAACTAGAAGCACTTGCAACCACTTCATCCTTAACACCCAAATCCAAGCTACTCTATTTTCCCAGGCTGCTGTAACAGTCCAACTGATCTTCCTTTCACTTTTTTTTTTTTTTTAAAGACAGGGTCTCCTGATTCTCCTGAGTGCTGGAATTACAGAAAGGCATCACCATGCAGGGCTGACCTGCCTTCATTCTTGTCCTCCACATACTAAAATCTTTTTTTCTTTTTTTTTTTTGTGGAATTGAGGTTTGAACTCAGGACCTCATGCTTGCTAAGTAGGTGCTCTTCACCTGAGCCACTCCAACAGCCTTTTTTTTGTTGAGACAGTCTTTCGAACTATTTGCCTGGGCTGATTTAGAACCTTGATCCTTCTGATTTCTGCCTCCCAAGTAGCTAGGATTACAAATGTGAGCTAATAGTACTCAGAAGTCATTCTTTAAAATACTTTTTCTGCTCAGTTCTCTACCTGCTCCTCTCTCACTCATAATAATCCCATGTGACTTGTTCAGTCTGGCCCCTCACTGACCTTCACCCACTCAGACACTTTGCTGTTCCTCAAAAGTCCAGTCCTCTAGTGTGGATTGCTTTTTCCTTCATATCTCCTTGGCTCACTGTCTGCAGACCCTACTTAAATGACACCTGGTCACAGGTCTTCCTGATAACCTTATTTAAAACAGCAATGCCAACCACCTCTAGAATAGCCTTGTCCTGTTGCCCTACTCTGTTTTTTCTTCTTAGTGTGTACCACTAGAAGAGTATATATATTATTTTGCCTAATTTTTCCTCCATCCCTTTACCCCAAGAATGTGAGTTCCATGAAAGCAGTGACTTGGGTTTTGTTCACTGCTCTGTCCCCAATTTCTCAGAAGATGCATGGCATCAAGCAGAAAATTAACAAGTTTGTTTGAAAGAATAAGATGGTAGAATTCTCCAACATTCATTAGGCCAGAAAGTCTGGAACAAAGTTGACATTCCCCAAGATAGAGACAAATGGTTTATTTGGTAATAATGAGTAAAAAGCAATTCAATTCCTCTTATCTCTCTGGCTTTGGCTGAAATGATACTGTTGTGATCACACGGATGGTGACACAAGAATTCCCTGCAGATCTAATCGCAGAAATGCACAGATGTCTGGGTTGTAAGACTTGCAAGTATTTCTAGACGGAAGTGCCGACTGTTGTGCTTTCCAGTGTATCAGTGGCTGCTACAGTCCTTCTTTCTTCTTAGGTTTCATGGCAGGAAACAGAAGTACTTCCTACAAAGATAAAAATTTCTCTTTGATGCTAAGGTGCATTCTGAACATTTTTTTCCCGCAGCTATCTATTCCTTTTGCCTCTGTTATTGTTACCAACCAAATCAGTTACATGTACTTCGGAGCTTGAATGCAACTGCCTAGGCAGCACATCAAGACTGAATAAACACAGGTTCTATTTAATTGGATTTCCTGATCTATAAATAAACAACAGTTTCCACACGTCTCATAGGGCTGGCTGAAACAAGCTAATGCATGGAGGGGTTAGAACTTCCTGGACCTCAAGATATACAAACAATTAGTGTTCCATCTACTTCGGTAGAAGACAACTAAAATCCTACAAGGTCAAATGCTTTAAGTCTCCGACTTAACAAGTGGCAGGTAAATTCCTCTAGTTGCTCCTCCTTCAGCCCAAAGCCCTTTGCTTATTCTCCAGGCCCACAATCTCTACATAAATAGAGCTTTTGGGCAGCATGTGCTACGAGAACTGCTGTGTACCTTGATATTATTGGAATCTGTGAGAAACATGGCACACGGTCAATTGCCCATGCCAGCCAGCTGTCGGGTGCAGCCCATACTCCAGGGCAGTAAGAAGTTTTCATCTTGAACTATGGCCTCATCCATCACCAGCAGCTTTGGCCTAGAAGAATAAAGAGAACCAGAAGATGATGTTCTTCTAAATACATTCAATGTCCAAGTGAATGATCAAATACTTTATTGTAGGGA